ATAGAAACTTAGCAAAAAAATAAATGTACCTACTTAAGTTAAATGTTATACAGTAGAGATTTTAATGAAATATATTACCCTAAACGAACTTCTTTAAGTTCACTAACAGAACTTGGAAAATGTATATATTTGTTGAGTATTTCTGGAACATTCAAAGCATTGGCTACTTCAGTAATGCATCTACTTACAGAAGCTTGACTCACAGAAGCACCTCTATGTTCCCCAATATCTTGCTGGTAGCTTCCACTTGCAAAAAATCTTAGTGCTGTTAATAACTAACAATACAATAATATTATTGGTATAAAAACAGAAAATACCATGATAAACCTATCAAAAATAACAGTGCCTAAAATTGTGTACAGTAGCAAAATCTAAGTAAAATAATTGTTATTATTTAATTTTACCATAAGTTAACTGACTCAATCTATTTAGTCTTTAATTTGAAATTTCTAGTCATCTATCAAGGACTATTATAATAATTAATAAAAACATGATTCATTTTCTATATTGTGTTTTGTTATTAAATGTATTTTCTGATACCTATAGCACAATAAAAATTAATAAATATAATTTTTGAATAGTAGGTAGGTACCTATTTAGTGATGTGGAAATTATTGTAGTAAATAGACCTATATACTATACAATACTACCTAATAGTAGGTAAGTTATATTAATGTATAAAAATCAATTTATATTGATTAATGGTTAAACATTAGGTATAATAAACTTATAACAATAACTAAATATTAATAAATAACAAAAACAATTATGGAACAAAGTCATATTATGTGCACTACCTACTATAGATTCATTAGGTATAGATATTTTCAAATATTTTGGTGCATGGAATCAGATTTGTACAAGTAAAATAAGCAAATTTTAAGCACTGAACAATACATTTTATATTTGTGTGTATTAAAATTTTTTATAACTAACCTTTCTTTTAATACTTAGTCCAGCAGATGTATTTGGACCTTTTATAAAAGGAGTCAGGAGATTAGTTAACTCTTGCACTAGAATTTTACTTAATCGATAGGTCCCAATGAATTGCCGGTCAGAGAGTACTTAAAAATTAAAATGTTTATTATGATAGCTAATTTTTATAAATTTTTATAAATTATATTGATATGATTAAATATATTAAAAAAATAATAAAATCTAAGAGTATCAATTTATAATACATACTACACTTCAAAATGTATAAAGCGATTTTAACTGGATATTTACAGGCAAGTAAAGTATCCTATTACTTGATTAATAATTAAAATGTATGTAATTACCAACGAAAGGATCTTCTTGCATTAAAACTCGTCTTCCTTCATTTTCAAAGTTCATATCGTTAAATATTTCCATATTCATTGCATTTAATTGCATATTATATACTTCAAAATCGTCATCAATTAATGCCATATTGCTTAAATGGTAATTTACATAGTCTACATGTATTATTAATAGAAAGTTAACGAATATCTTTACAGTTCGAGGCGTTAGATCGTAGATAAAATATAAAGAATATACTAAACGAGTGTTGTGGAAATAATTCGAGAAAAAAGAAATGAAGACATGTGAAAATGTTGTGTCGAAAACCGTATTCGTCACCTAATTGACTATCGAAGAAAACTATCGAATAGTAATGTCGGATTTGTAGTCGAAAACCGTTTGAGAATAGGGTTTTTTTTTATAATCGAAACCACAGTTCCTTTCGACCAATTTTTGATCGAAAGCCGATTTCGATACCTTTGAGAATAGGCCCCCTGAACCGACGAAGACCGACGCTCCGTGCCGACGTACAAGGTACAACCACCGGTTGACTCGGTACCGCGAAAAAATAACCCCGGAAAAAATATCCCCGGAATTTTAGACCCCGAAAAAAAAACCCCGTGAAAAAATAACCACGGGAAAAAACCCCCATATGAGATTTTGCAAATTAATCTAAATATTGAATATTACAATAAAAAATTACAAAATGTATAACATACCTTACGTACAATTATTATGTTTACACAAATAACGTTAATTTTGGATTCAATGATAAATTATTTATTACCTACGATAAAAACGATTCAGAGCACTGTGCCAGTATGTCAGACGTCTGTCATATCGATCAGATATATAATAACAAGGTACAGCGACGGATAAGAAAGGTACCTTTATCTTTAATGTTCTAGAAGCGGTAATTTATAAAATTTGTGTAATTATAAAATGTCCTGTGCGTGCTCATTTCTCAGTATTACTACAGTGCTACAGTACTACAGTGGTCACTATAGTGTGCTTTCGTAATTCGTATATTATATATTTCTCTGTGCTTTGTTTTAATTTCTATTTGAATAGTTTTAGTGTTATGGACATTCTAGATATTTTCGAGAGCCAGAAGGGCAAAGAAAAGTTGGCATTTAAAAAGCATATGTATGTTGTGCACAAAGAGTGCTTACATTTTATAAGGTGGAAATGCTGCAAAAAAAATAGTCACAAATGTCCATGTATTTTAAAAACTTCTCTCGATAAAAAAAGTTTAATTAAAATTGATCATGAACACAATCATATTTCGTCTCAAAATGAAATTGATGCCGCAAAAATTAAAATTAAAATTAAAACACGGGCTAAAATAACGAAGTGTACGCCAGCACAGTTATTTTCAGAAGCTATGACGGGTCTTTCGGAAAGTATTCTAGAAGAACTTCCGAAAGAAAAATCTATTAAAAAAACAATTCAAAATCAAAGGACTCAGAGTTTTCCCATAGTACCTGAAAATCTAACAGATTTAAAAATAGAAGGTATGTACTATGAATATTGACAGTTAATACAATAGTCAATATTATTTATTTATTTATTATTAATATACGGAACAAAACTCGGCTTAACAGGCACAAAATACAACACGCTGTTCTATTATATTATTATTATATTCTTCTTCTTCTTCTTCTTCTTCAGCTTATCGGCCCATTAAGTGCCATCGCTGCCATCACAAAACCTCTCCATTTCTCTCTATCGTATGCGTCGTCAAAAGATGACGCTTCTTCTATGTTTTTTATATCTTGAGCTATAACGTCCACCCATCGGGTCCTTGGTCTTCCTAATGGACGTTTTTTATTTATTGTGTTAATTAAAACTTCTTTTATTACTTGTCCATCCGCTCTCCAAACATGACCGAACCATTCCAGTCGCTTGCTTCTTATATATGCAATAATATTTGGCCTGTTATATAACTCCTGTAGTTCTTGATTATTCCTTCTTTCATAAGTTTGCGATTCTGCATCGAATTTCGGGCCGTATATATTTCTCAGTACTTTTCTTTCGAAGGTCATTAGCCGTTTGCTGTCTCCTTTGTTACTTTTATTACTGTATCATAGCTATCTACGACCAATAATCACATACGCGAGTGAAACATGGTCACTGACCAAAGGAATTATTATTATATTAGGTACAAATAATTATTAATAATAATAATACAGTACATTTATTAACATTAATATATGTACGATAATTACTACATATTAAAAAAATAATTGATACAATTAATAATTTTGAATAATCGCTCCACTCAGAATCTAAAAATTAAAAAATATAATAAAGTATATAATAAAAAAATAAATTATACTATCAACATAATATATTAATTATTAATATAATCATAATTGTATTGTAGGTGAATGGAGTATATATGAAAATGAAACGTTTTTATTATTTGATAACCATAGTGAAGAAAATGAAAGGGTCATCATTTTTGGATCTAGAAGTAACTTGAAACTCTTAGCAAGTTCAAATACCTGGTATGCAGATGGTAACTTTGGATTGGCCCCGAAAATTTTTTTACAATTATACGTTATAAGAATTGGAAAATATGATGAATTCTTTACGGTTCTTTTCTGCCTACTCGAAAAAAAAACTCAAAGTATTTACGAGATAATGTTCCATGCTTTTCTTTCAGTCTGTGAAAAGAACAATCTTTTTCCAGATCCACTATACCTGAAAGTTGATTTTGAAAAAGCACTAATAAATGCTGCAAAAAATGTACTAGGGGAACATTTAACAATAAATGGATGTTTCTACCATCTTTGTCAGAGCACTCACAGGAAATTAGCGGAATTAGGGTTAAAAAAAAGGTATCAAGATGATGATAATTTTAATAACTTTTGTGGTATGTTGGATGGTTTGGCTTTTTTGCCACTAACTAGACTAAACGAAGGTATTGAATATTTAAAATTAAATATACCTCTTGGGGCGGAGGATTTATTTAATTATTTTGATGAAACGTACGTGAGTGGAACGTTACGTCGAGTTAATAAACAAAATGTTTCAAGTTTAACCGTTCGACGTTTTCCAGCAATATTTCCTCCGGAAACTTGGAATGTTCACCAAACAACTATACAAAATAATCAACGTACCAATAATGTTTGCGAGTCGTGGAACAATAGGTTTAGACATTTAGTCGGAGTACAACATCCGTCGATTTGGACATTAATCAATAAAATAAAAAATGAACTGTCGGCTGACCGTGCAAAACTTGCTTTGCAAACTGTAGGAGAGTCCAAAACTAAATGTTCTAAATCAAAAACTGTTCAAAAGAGATTAAAAACGTTATGTGAACGGTTAAATTCAAACGAAATTGAAGTAGACATGTTTTTGAAAAAAATATCCTTTAATTTAAGAAAACGATTATAAAATAGATATTAAACTTGTATTGTATTACCCATTTATGGTGAATATTTTTTATTTATATATTATTATTGACATTTCCATTCGTTTTTACCGTGATTGAAAAATTTGACAATTTGTTTTAAATTATTATTATATTATTGAAATTGTATTGTATTACCCATTTATGGTGAATATTTTTTAAAAATTTGACAATTTGTTTTAAATTATTATTATATTATTGAAATTGTATTGTATTACCCATTTATGGTGAATATTTTTTAAAAATTTGACAATTTGTTTTAAATTATTATTATATTATTGAAATTGTATTGTATTACCCATTTATGGTGAATATTTTTTAAAAATTTGACAATTTGTTTTAAATTATTATTATATTATTGAAATTGTATTGTATTACCCATTTATGGTGAATATTTTTTAAAAATTTGACAATTTGTTTTAGGCCTGCATGTACAACCTTACAAATCAATTTTATTATAGTTATTTTGGTTATTTTTTCCGTGGTTATTTTTTCACGGGGTTATTTTTTCGGGGGTTTTTTTTTCGGGGTTATTTTTTCCGGGGTTATTTTTTCTGGGGTTATTTATTAGGCATATCAGTTGACTCACCATGACAGATGTTCGTGCTACCGTTAAATTTTGAATAAACAACGTACACTGTTTCGTGCGACACGTGGAATTTTTGTTCATTTCGTGACGACGCGCGACTGTGTTTGTGTTTAACGTTACGAATTTAACTGTTGTTTTTATGTAAGTTTGTGTACGATGAGTGGGCCAAGTAAATTTCGTGATATTCCAGAGCCAGACGAAATGTCTACAATTTCTCCGAAGACGAAGAATCAAAAAGGCAAGGCAAGTAAAACATTTTTTATTGGTTTAGTATGCTACATAATCAGTAGATCAGTATTATATTGTATATTTCATACTGTATATTCATAAATATTTTTTCCCTGCAGTATGTAAGCAGTGGTCAAAAGATTATTGTCATCAATATGTTCAAAGACATTACATTGAAGTCTTCGGATATGAAGTATGACGATATGATTACTAAAATATCACAAACCACGGGTATAGGTAGTCAAACCATCAGTAGAACCATATCGGAGTATAAAAGGAAGAAAACTGTCAGTTCTCCCAACAAAAAGCGAGCAAAAAAATCTCTTTTCGACAAAATTGACGATTTAGATCGCAATGGATTAAGGCAAAAGGTACATGGTATTTGGTTGCGTCGTGAACTACCGACGATCGATAAGATATTACATGAGGTGAACGAAGATCCATCGCTTCCAAACTTCAAACGTACCACCTTGTATAATATCATAAAAAAATTGGACTTCGTATTCGCTAAACGAAAAAGGTGCAGTGTGTTGACCGAGCGGGAAGACTTGATCAATTGGCACCGCAATTACTTATTCGACATACGCAGATATCGCGAGGAAGAACGAACCATATATTACTTGGACGAAACATGGTTGAATGCCGGTGATTGTGTGGACCGCGTGTGGATGGACAAAACGGTAAATTCAAAACACGACGCGTTCAACAAAGGTCTTACAACTGGTCCAACCAACCCAACCGGTAAGGGAAAACGCCTTATTATTCTCCATATTGGTTCGGACAAAGGATTTTTACCAGGCGGTCTTTTATGTTTCGAGTCGAAGAAGAATAGTGCCGATTACCACGACGAAATGAATGGTGATAATTTCAAAGAGTGGTTTGAATCTATTCTTCCTCGACTCGATCCCAATTCTATTGTGGTTATGGATAACGCACCTTATCATTCCGTCCAAGCCGAAAAATATCCAGTTGCCAGTTGGAATAAACCCGATATATTGGAGTGGTTTAATTCCAAAGGTGTCGTTTTTGACCACCCAATGTTGAAGGCACAACTCTTGGTTCGAGCACGTGAGTTAAAACCACGTCATAAATCTTACATTATCGACAATTTGGCAAAAGATGCAGGACACACCGTCCTCCGATTACCCCCGTACCATTGCGAATTCAATCCAATTGAATTAGCATGGGCAATGGTAAAAGGGTACGTGAAGCGGTTGAATACAACATTTAAGATTGACGACGTTCGCCAACTTCTTTACACGGCTATAGAACGGGTAACGGCAGAAAATTGGCAAAATTTTATTAAACACGTTATTGAGGAGGAAAATAAAATTTGGAAAGTTGACGACATCATGGAAGAATTGATTGAAGGAATGGAACCATGCGTGCTGACAATAACTGGAGAAACTTCTGATGATGAATCTTCTTAATTCTATTTTAATTATTATATTGTAAGTATTTTAAAATATGAATTGTATTTTTATATTTTACGTAAAATTGTATTATTGTTTTTTAAATTATTATATTGTAAGCATTTGTAAATACGAATTGTATTTTTATATTTTACGTACGTCATACATAAAACACCAGATAATCCCTCGTAAAATAATTTACTTTACAAACATGGTTTCATTTTATATAAAAAGAAACATAAATAAAGCAAAAAAAGAAACTGATTTGTATAGCTCAATGCGATACGCAACGTATGTGATCAAAGTAGTGTTCAACAGTGTATTTTAAGTTATTGTTTCACAATGCTAGCCGACAATAGACTAAAGCGACGCTCTAGCCGGCGGCGTTGGTTTAGTATCGTGTTTTCAATGAAACCACGCCCATGCGCAGTAGTCGGCCGCCGACTGTGTTTCTTATTCTGAATAGACTATAGACATATTGACAAATTCAAATCAGCTTTCAGAAGTTATATCGCGTTTACCGTTTCATCGGTGTGATTGACAAAAGATTAGTATATTTTGGATGAAATAATAGACGTTTGCAATCCCCTTAAGTGTTAACTTAAAGTTAAAAACTCGTATAAACATTTATTTTTCATAAAGTTAGAACAATATCAAACAAGACATTATCACTGATTTTAAAATATTGATAAAAAAAAAACTAAAAATGCTATTGGCAAGCTACGAACACCAAATGAAAGTGGCAACACTGTAGATTTAGAATCCGTTGATAAAGTACTGATTATTGAGACCCAGAACGAGATTTCATTGACGAGAAATTCCTATATGTGAGATTTCATATGAGATCTCACTACCAACTTTTGGTAATTTGTTGAGATTTCTAATTAGATCTCATAACAAAAATAAGTAACATGGTGAAAAACCCCGTGGCGGTCAACGTGTTAACAGGATACTAAGCCAAATACTAACGCGATTAAATTGTTTAATATAATTCCATATTTATTCAACAAAAATATATATTATACATATTATATAGCTGCATGTAAGCCGACAACATCATACGATTCTGATTTACATCTACGTCTTGACTATTATCACGGGTATTACTTTTGTCATTAAATTCATTATTAACATTATCAATAAATTCTGCACCTTTATATAATAATACAAATACACATTTAGGGTTATACAAGGCGTGTTGTTGCCACACTTCGTCATTTTCCACCCATATTCTCAATAACAAACCGCAGTAGAAACATTGTACTAAGTCGCCCGCCCCGGTATAAGTGAAACCGCATTCAGTCAGCGAATATTTATCTTGATACGATTGTGATGGGTGTGAATCGAATGTTTTCAGCCTCGATATAAAACTTATATACTCGGGATATTCGAGATTAGAGTTCTCTTGCACCGAACGCACTAGAGATCGACAATCGACAGAACATTTTAATAAATTCATTGTATTGAACCGTATAAAAATAATAAATCGTAGATAATTCGTTCTAGGTTTGAAAGTTGATAAGACACCTCTACCCAGTGTAAAGGTTTGTGAGTAACTGTCAGCTGTATGAACTAGTAATTCACCAGCAGTGTAAGCTAAGCAAAGCAATAACAATAATATAAACTAAAAATATTTGGATAGTGGTATGTAAAATACAACGTTGAGTTATTCCCTATTATCAGGTACCCGCCACACATGTGACAAGATGTGTAAGATGTGGCCGCATATAGTAAATTGTGATATACGCCGAAGTCGAGCGCTGACCGAACTTAACGGACGATTATTTCTTATCGTAATGTCCAACACCACGTCGAATACAGATCAGACAGCCAACAGAGTTCAATCACGTTCCACATCCTTGTGTATATTCGTCTCTCGTCTACATTTTATTATTATTATTTTACAACACTGTGTGTCGTATATTTACGAAAATGTTTAACTGCAAGATTTGTAATAAAGTTTACGTTCATAAGCGTGATTTAAACAGGCACGCTAAAACCCACGATGGATCAACGAATTCGTGTGGGATATGTCTCAAGGCGTTCACCCGCCGGGACAAACTTCGAAACCACGTAAAAAATATTCATGGTAAGTACATTGATTATTATGACGTTGAGCCGAAAAAACCTTTTTGTTATTCATAGTTACGTAAACTAACATTGTTGAATTATTATCATATCTTATAATTATAAGTTATTAATTTTTAAGTCAGTTGTTTGTGTAATGAAAAATTAGAGTTCTACACATATGGTGTTTTTTCGGGACAACAACGATTTACTTAATTAGGGGTTATTAATTAAATTATTTTTAAAATATATTGATAGCTAAAAACACTCCCGAATACCACAACGCTGTACGGATAGGCGACGCAATGGGTAAATCATTTTTTCTTATTAATAATAATAATAACGACGCTATCTTAATATTAATAATGTATGTTAGGTCGCGCATCAGTCATAAACTGGGCACCCCCCGCCACTACCCCTGACGCACAACTATATGTTTCGCCACTGCCGTACATCACGACTAGCCGCCGTCGTGCTGGCACATCTACTCCCCAGCCTCAACCCTCATCGTCATCGGCCTCCCGCACACCGGTTATCGTTTCCCCACCACCCGCACAGGCTATCGTCGACGGAACAGACGCAAGATCCCTCGCCACCACCGCACTACCACTTTCACTTTCAACACCGTCCATCGAGGAAGACGTGGCTCACACGGAAAATACTAGTATAAATATCAAACGTAAAAAGGCGCGCATACAAAAGGTTAATACGTCGGGCTTTATTGAGATCGAGTCATCACATAAACGAGCAATCGTATGGTATTTTAGGAAGAACGTTGATAACGTAGCTAGTTATCGTGCATTCCTCAATTCGATAGAGTCCGAATTAATCGCGAAATTACGCTAGTGCGTTCATATTAACCCTATTAAATACAATCTTAAATTAGAGGCCACATACGTAATACCAAACTTGGACAATTCTGCTCAAAATCGGGTATTTAAAACTTCAGCCAGTGAACTCTATGCGCACAGCAATGTCGAGGGTTTGGTGGATCGTGATTTCGCATCGCTCCAGGCCGAAGAAGATTCGTACGCCGGGAAATACAGCGGGTTCGCCTTATCGTGCATCGACGGATTGCTCTTGGGTGTGTACGAGTATGCGCCTATGGGGGTATCCTTCGTACTTACCGTTGCCGGAAAGTATTCCGAGTCGGGAGGCCGTTGTTAACCCTCAAAATATCGACCGACAATGTTTCAAGTGGGCAATTCTCGCCGAACATGTGTCTAGCGATCGCACACGAGTGGGCATGAATTATTCGAGGGAAGAACATCATTACGACTTTTCTGCGTTGTCAACTCCCACTCCCGTATCCTGATACAATTATTTGAAAGGTCGAATCCGGGTATGACAGTAAATGTATATGGTGTGAGAAATTGTGTAGAATATAAAAAAAATAAAAAATCTATCCCACAATCTGCCGCATACCCACTGCGCGTCGTAGAGGAGGAAAAGGCAAACCATTTCGACCTACTACTAATCACCGGAGAGGGTGCTAATTATCACTATGCGTATATATTTTGACTGTATGTTGAAACTTACGAAAGTTGAGCTTTTTCTTTTGGATGATTATGAGAAAATACTTTTCATAGAGTCCGGTACGCGTGGTGGTCTGGTGCAGGCCAGCAAGCGTCACGCTCGCGCCAATAATCCGGAGACACCAGGATACAATGCCGACGAACCCAGCACGTCCCTCATATACTTAGATGGTGATTATAAAATATAAATTATATATCCACATCTATATTGCGGATAATAATACCGATATATTTACCGGTGTATTAACCGATTTTTAACATTCAAGATAATAATTTGTATGGGTACGCGATGTGCAAATATATACCGATTAGCGATTTCTCATGGTACCCGGGAAACCCCGAAGTTGCCCTCGATCAGCTACAATGGATGCGCTAGACGGATGACATTGGTAGATTTTACGAAGTCGACATTTCTTATCCTCAACACCTACACGACGCTCACAATGATATCCCGTTCCTGCCACACGCTAACTACCACGCGGGTCCACCGTGCGAAAGTTGATGGTGACATTTCTGAGGAAAGAACGCTACGTGGTTCATTATATGAATTTAAAACAGGCCATGGATCACGGCGTCGTAGTAGAAAAAGTGATTATTAATATTATCATTATTATTATGTGTATACGCATCATATTACTTTTTTCGTACATTTCAGACGCATCGAGTATTGGAATTCCGACAATCCCCATGGATGGCTCCGTACATAAACCTCAACACAAAGTTTTTTAAAGATTTAAACAATTCGGTGTTCGGTATGTTATTTATAAATTTTACGAAAAAACATTTTTTTTTTTTTCCGAACCTTGAACTACTTAAACTTTACATAACGTCCACTGTGTGTATGTAGGGAAAACAATGGAGAACATGCGTTGCCGATTAGACTTAGAGCTTGTTTCGTCCCCGCGCAGAATGCGGAAGCTCATAAATTGACCGACGTTCAAATATTGTACGACTTACAATGAAAATCTCTCGATGGTCACTCAACATGGTAAAGAAGTTTCTGCAAGCCTATCTACATAGGATTTACCGTACTAGAACTTAGTAAAGTTTTAATGTACGGATTTCATTATGACGTCATGAAACGTCATTACGGAGATAGGATTGAGTTGTTGTATACCGATACTGGTGCGTTTATAATATAATATGAATTCTAGAAAAAATATATATTATGTATCATATTATATTATTATGTGTTTCAGATTCGCTATTCTACCGTGTGGAGACAAAATATTTTTACGATGACTTGGCAGCCAATCCGAATCTTATGCGGTTTATGGATACCTCCAATCTACCACCCGATCACAAGTGTTACTCAACTGATAGGAAACGGATTCCAGGCCTGTTCAAAAATGAAGCCGATTCCCGCACAGTGTACGAATTCGTAGCGCTGCGTGCCAAGTCTTACGCGTACGACGTGGAGCAGGACGTCTGCATTCGTGCTAAGGGTGTTGTGAGTCACGTGGTTCGTAATCACCTGATCTTCGCCGAACATAAGCGATGCTTATTCGCTGATGTAGACGACGACGCGGATTCTGACGAGCGTGACGAAGAGTTCGACGCTAACATGGGGAAAATGATCGCAGCCGATTCTGCGCTTAAAGCTGTAACTCAAATACATCGGAACGCCTCAACGCCCGCAACACACCCACCGTCAACACCCGTACACCCGTCACAATGTTATAGTTATATGCCTTTCACGCCGTACAGAGAAAATATCTCTATACGGTCGTTTAAGCATGAAGTGCGGACAATTAGAGCTATGAAGCTCGTCTTAAACAGGGCGGACGATAAACGATACATTCTACCCGATAGAATTAATACGCTCGCGCACGGACACTATCGCATAAATGATTGAATTTCTACTATTATTATTATTATTGTTAAACTGTTGCATAGCTGTAAATATAATATAATACCATTTTAAAACTATCATAACTATTATTATTATTATTATTATTTCGATACTACCGTAGTAAGAAGCGCTTAGGCTTGTCACGTGACGTGTATTCTTAGTATTATGTATAATATGTATTACGCGACTCGTGTCTCAGTACATGTTGCATTGCGTTAAATATATTTATAAACAATACATCACCCCTTAAAATTAATATTATACTCTTCGTGTTTCATAACATACTGTATAGAGTTGAATATATTTATAAACTATACATCATCCCTTAAAAAATATAACGCACACGCAGTGCATGAGGGTGATGTGACGACACACGTGCTGCGTCCAATAAAAAATTCATATCTTACCTTTCTTATCTTCAAACATGTTTAGTCAGGCATATATCACGGTGTTGATAGTATTATTTTTAAAAATCCCTTCTAATTCTCACCGTGATAAGACGCCGATGAGATGTAGGGAAAATTCATATTCCTACACGCGGAAATCCCCTGTCGCGGTCGCTAGTGCTCCAGTAGTCTTTAGAGACCACCATTTGCGATCGTACTCAGCGTGAAATAACAAGACATTAATATATCGTCCTCGTGTTCATTTTTCGACGATGTCCCCACGACACGATGCTTGGTAAGTTTCTAGACTAACATTTTATACTATCCTATTAAATTTATTTTATTTTTAGTCACCACAATTATTCCCTGCTACATACAGACTGGAGGACTACACGCTCCAAGTCACAGAATATGGGGTGTCGGATACCAATTATTCGCTTGGATTCGATGCTGGTCAACGTTGGACAAGCGACGCAGATTCACCACCTATACTAGACTTTTTATCCGGACAATTACGTGGATTTATCAAGTGAGTCTTAAGAGGGCGTTATGGTACCGAAATTCGGCCGTAAAAACATGGTTTCGTACTTCAAGTTTTCCTCAGCTCTCGATAGTCGTA